AGTTACTCTATAGGACAGAGTGGAACTGCCCCACAGGGCTTCCAAGGCTGTGAATCTTTGCAGAAGCAGACTGTCACGTTTGTCTCCTGCAGAGCGGCTGGTGGGTTCGAATCCTCAACTTTTCAGTTAGCACCCTTAACACTGCATCATCAGGGTTCTTTCAGAGTTACTCAGAGGCTGTAAAAGTGCTGGTATCTCTGTAGTAGAGTATAGAGTGTATGTTACTTTAACATCTGTTTTCATCTCTACAAAGAAGGCCAGAAGCTGAAGAGAGTTGAGAACTCATCTTTGCTCTTGTGCTGTACCACAGGAGAAGATCTTCAGCTAGCTAAGCCATAAGATCCTTTTCCTTTTGCTCCACTTAGAGAGCCCTTTAGAACAAAGGTGGCCTTCACTGAAGGTGAGCAATTGTTTTACTTGGGACTGAAAGGCCCAGGGCAGTAAGGAGGTAGGGAAACTAGGTGCCTTGTTGAGATCCACCACCTATTGCAGGCGATCTTAAGTGCATCGCTGAGAAAGGAAACAGTACCAGTGAAACCAGTCCCACCTTTTCCTACAAGGCAGCACATGCAGATCTCCGAAACTTGAAAATGTGGAGCATAGGCATCTTCGAAGCAGTATGACAGAGCGTCTTGATCTGTCTCACAAGGTGCTTGGAGGGTAAATGTGTCCTCCCCACTTTTGCACGTTCAGTCTGAGCTTGTGGGAGCCTTACACCCTGCCCATGTCTGGCTTATTCTGTCTCTCTTCTCTAGTTTGCCCTCCACTCTACTGCAGCACTGAACTCTTGACTCCATGCTATGTCTCCTTTGCCTGAAATGCTAGTGCTGCACCTTTGAGACTCAGTTCAGTTGCTTCTCCAGGAAGCCCCCCAGCTGAGCTCAGGAGGCTTTCTGCCTATGCAGATGTCCCTCGGTGGACTAACAGGTTTGCATGCTTATCTGTAGCTCTGTGAGCTTCATGAGGGTAGAGCCTATGACATATCTTTATTTTCTTAGTACTTAGCCCAATATCGGGCACACAGTAGTAGATACAATAAATGTTGAATGAATGATAATTTTAAAAAGACCCAGCCCACTTGATGCGAGTGGGTGTGGTCTGAAGGAACATGGGCTGTACTTGGCACCTTTGCAACTGAGTCAGTCGGCCAGTCAATGCAGTGCTGTTGGGCAGTCAGGAGTGTGTGTGATTTGCAAGTGAGTGTTTTTGAGGGTAACAATATAATACAATGTTTCATATACTTACAGGATCTGAAAATTACTCTGAAGGACAAGTTGCTTCTCCTCCCTGGTCACCTCTTCAAGACAAATGCTGAGTCAGCTAGAACTCTTCGGGTTAAAATGATAAATACCCAACTGCAGCTGGTGCTTAAGCAAAAAAGAGAATGAATTGACATTTTGGGTTATGTCTTATTGCATAACAGCCTATCCCAAAACTTGCCTAAAGCAATAACCATGTTACTATCTGCTTGTGATTCTGCAAATTGAGCAGGTCATTCCTTTCACTAAGAAAGGAAACAGTGCCAGTGAGACCAGCCCCACCGTTGCTGTAAAGCAGCACACCCAGATCTCCGGGACGTGCGAACGTGGAGCCTGTGGGGGACCCAGAACGGCTGGGGGCTGGGGGAGCCATTCTGCTTGGCTCTTGTGTTGGGGCCTGGTTGTCACTGTTGTCTGGACTCTTCAGTCCTTTCCGTGGGGCCAGCTTGAACTTTCTCATGGCATGGTGATTCAGAGTAGTTGGACTTCTTCCATGACAACTGGCTTTCTCCAGAAGGTGAAAGTGGGAGCTGTTTAACCTTTTTTAGACTTAAATCTGGAACTGGGGCAACATTGTTTCTGTCACATTTTTTTTTTGGTTAAAAAGGTCACAGGGCCAACCCAGGTGCGAGGGAAGGGAAGTGCAGAGGGTGTGAATTCTGGCAGATGTGGATCACTGGGCCCTTCCAGAGTAGCAGTGTGCCACACAGGCTCGTGGGACTGCGTCCACAGAGAGAGCCTGATTCAGGACCGTGCACTCGCACACTTCCTCTTCACTTTTGCATTAGTTCCTCCAGGCAGCGGCCATGCCCGCCCTCACTGCTGCTCCGGGCATACATCCTCATGGCATCCTAGATGGCAGCCCAGACCTTGGGCTATGGGGCCAGATGCCAGGATCCCACCAGGCAGCTCTCCGTGTGCCTGAGTTTCCACCTCATCTGTAAAATGAGGATGTCAGGAGCATCTGCCTCAGGGAGCCGTTTGAGATTTTGAGAATTCCGTAGACAGGGTCACCTGCAAAGCTTAAGGGTCAGGTCAGTTGTTCATGAGCATGTTGTGGTCCAGGAAGGAGAAGTCTTGGCCTTGGAAAGGCAGAGCTTCGCAGTACCCGAGGGTCACTGTGGTCCACCTGGGAGGAACAGCCGGGGCCCTGAGGGGAGCCACTGGCCTGGGGGGTTCACGGCTCCCCCGATGCTGGACTGCTCTGCTCTGGTGCATCTCACAGGGCTCCTAGTGGCTCAGGTGGCTTGTGGTACTGACTCATGGATGTCTTTTTGTGTTCAGGTGCCTCTGTTTAAGTTCTATGAATAGTAGCATTTGCTACTCTTTGCTACTACTATTTACTACAGCCCAAGGCTAGGCCTGCAGCCCCAATTTTCCTTTTTGTTATTTCAAAGTTTCCTGTGAGGCACTTCTCACAGCCACTTGGGTGTATGTGGGTACATGTGTAGATCCTCTCCTACCAGCCCCTTAACCTATGGGAAAGTGTGGCATTCTCACTGGCAGCATGTAGAACCCTGTGGCTCATCACATGTGGCAGCTGCCTTGCCCAGGAGAGACCCAGGGGTGCCCACATGGGCCTGGGTGCACAGAAAGGAGTGTACCAGCTTGAACACTCCCAGGCCTTCCCTCTACTCCCAGCATCATCCTTCTTTTCCTCACTGTGGCTAGCTTGCTGGATTCTTTGGAGACCAAGAGGACACTGATCAGGGCCTGCCAGGCTGTGACAGAAGAGTAACCTGCAGCCTTTCTTCCCTCACACCTTTGTGAGCGTACTCAGCTATTGGATCTGGCTCCTTGAAAGGTGTATACGGTGACCGTGCTGAGCTGTGTTGGAATTGCCTTGTGAAACCTTGGCATGAAAACTCTGAGCAGACAAGCCCTGCGTCTCCTCTTGTGTTTGGGGCAGCTTTGAGTCCATTGCGTTTGTTCCAGAAAGGTGGTCAGCAGCTGCATGGCTTACTGGCTGCCATAGGGCTCTGGCTCTTGGGTTTGGGCCTGGGGGTGAGGTAGGGGCTCAGGGACCAGGCTGGAGCCTGCCAGCGTGATGACAGGGATCTGGCGGCTGGTGCTGTGTGATGGTAGTGGTTTGGGAATTGAGTTAGGCATGAGAAATGATATATAGCGTGACTTCCAAACTTTTCTAGGGCATCTATTCTTGTATTTGGCATGCCTGCTCAGGGCTTTGCACAGCTATTTTTCCCATGACCAATAATGACAGTGAGAAAGAAACTCAGCTTCTCCTTGTCCTGTTGAAAGCACCTTTTGACTGTAGGGATGTGGCTCTCTACAGTAAGCTGAGGAGAGCGGAATGTGACCTTGGGCTCGTACTGGGCGTTGCTTTTTGGGGACCAGCATTTGATTATGCGTGCTCGGCAGGAATTTCCAACTCTCGGGTGACCACTGCCACCTACCCCATTCCCCCACTTGCCACGAGGTTGTGGAGCTGATAATCCTCATCCCAGTCCCCATGTGGCCTCCTTTGGGTGACAGAAATGGAGCAGCCTCTGTGAAGCGATGACAACAGCCCCTTGTCTATAGTGATAATTGCTGGTGCTGTCAGTTGTCATACGTCGGATTTGTCACTCAGCTGCTGAGCTGGCACACACCAGGCACTGTGCTTAGAGCTGAGGATGTGGTGATGGATTCAACAGTGACTGATGTGCCGTCTGTGACTCTTGTGCTTGGCCTAGAAGCAGACCAGGGAATCCAACAGATTCCCACCAGACACAGGTGCAGGGCTGTCTCCCACAGTGATGTTTTTTTCGTTCTCATGGTATTTCCACTTGTCGGGGCCACCCCTGTAGCCATTGCTTTGTGGGCCTGGGAACATACTGGGCTCTGTGGGTACTAGTACTCAGCCCCTTCCTCTGGAAGAACCGTGACTCTAATTGAACATGTGTTACTTACTGTGAGGCAGTTCAACCAGAGGAGACACCAAGAAGATGGACCTTCTGTGGGCTTTAATAGAGCACAAATGTATGGGCAGACTTGGGAAGCAGAAGTTGAGGCCAACTGATGGCCCTACGTTGCAGCTGCCATTGTTCCTACTCATTGTCAGAAAGGACAGGGAGTGCCCTCTGACCAGCTGCTGGCTGTGTACAGATACATGGGCAGAGGAGATTTATCCAGAAGTGATGGCTGTGTGCTTATTTTGCTAAGTCCCCATGACTCAAAGCTTTCATCATGAGCCAGTTCCTAGCCTTTTACAGTGTCTTCCTCTCAGATGCATGTCACCAGAAGATGGCAGCCTATTGTCCACCAGACCTCTGTGTGAGTGCCCAGGCATCCCGTGGGCTCAGTCATTGTAGTGATGGAATGCCTTATTCCACTTTTGGATTTTCAGCTCTTTAATGTTGCTTAGAGATTCTTCCCAATAGTTTCTGCTTTAATTGAAGCTGTTAGATCACTCTGCCCTTCAATCAGAATCCAAACCAGTTGCTGGTGTCCCTAGGTGCTTCTAACGGTTAATGCCCTCGACTGCTAACCAAAATGTTGGCAATTCGCATCTTCCCAGAAGTGTGCTACAAGGAAGGCCTGGTGACCTGCTGTGGAGAAATGAGCCTACTCTGACACATCTGAGGCAGACTCGGTGGCAGCCGGCTTTCTGATTTTCCTGTTTTCCTAGGTGCAGTGACAGGAGTTGTTTACTTGAATAACCAGTGTTTTAAAGATTTAGAGTCTGTTGCTGGTCTTCACTGAATAAAAGCAATTTAGATTTTTTTTTCCCTTTGTTTCCAGGCAAGCCAATTTTTTCAGTTGATATTCACCCTGACGGAACCAAGTTTGCAACTGGAGGACAAGGTATGTTCATGGTATAGTAGAAGATCGGCTGCCTTGATCTTTTGCTCCTGGGTTGTCTGTGTAGCTATAGCTGGAATACCTACTATTTCCCAGTGTGGTTGTGACTCATGTAGTCATTAATTTTCTGGGCTCAAGAGAATTCAACTTGGTTGGAAAGAAAGTGCACTGTGGGCAAGTAAAACTGTCCACACCATGTGATGATATGTTGCATTGTGTCATCAGGGGGCTTCATCTGGCATCTGCTGCAATATTGTAATAACATACCTCTGTTTGCAAAGATAAAGTCGTTTTTCAGGCCAGGACACCAAGGTATATATATGATGGCATAAAGTAGCAGTCAGTGGCAGAGCCCAGCCCCATAATGATCTTCACCCCAAAGCAGGATCTCCCCTGGCTGAGGCCAGGGTCTCCTTGGATAGTACCTGGAAAGTGCCTTTGTGAATTCTAGGTCCTCAGGCCAGGTACTTCAGGGTAGGTGGGCTGCAGACTCCTCTGCCCTGGAGGGCAGGGAGAAGGAAAGGAGTGAAGCAAAGCAGATTGGGCAGCATGGGCTCCGTCTCCCTCCTGTGTGCTGTGGACTGCACCCATAGGAGCTCACAGGTGTCAAGTAAGAGCACCTGGACTAGCCAGGGGAGAAGAGAGAGTTTTTTCCTTGTCTGCAAAAGGAGGCACACTATGCTGTCTTCCTCAGGCAGTAGGTCTAGGAGATGTTTGGGAATTATCTTAATCCTTACTTATTGGTCAAGAGACTATTCCAAGCACACTTTATGGTGTGTCTGTTTCCAGGCATGTACTACTAGTTTTTGCTCCTCTGTAGTAGAAACTTAAATGAGGGAGCAGACTTCTGTTACTTATCGGTAATGGAAAGCATGGGAGGAGAAATCATTAGTAAAATGCATAAATAGGTTTCATATCAAAGCTTACATTTGGGTAAACCCAAACTCTAAGCCCCCTCTTTCAGATGACCTCCCCATATAGGGGACTGCAAAGGCAGACAAGAAGATAAAGAACCCTGTCTTCTGTCGTTTCAGACTTGAGTGTCCAAGTGTCCAGTCAGTTTTGGTGATAGCCATGGATTCCAGGCAGTACCTTGAAGAGGAGGGGAACCTCAGTAGGGACTGTGCTTTAGTTTCTGGGGTGCACATGCACAGACCTGAATGGGTCCTGGAAATTTACTTCCCCAGCCTCATCTTACAGATGAGGAGTCTGGATCCTGGGGAGAAATGAGGACCTTCTCAGGGCCTCTGGTGAGTCCGTGTTAGAGGCCGGACGAGAGCTCAGCCACTCACTTCCCTGTTGAGTCGAGGGTTCTCTTCCTCAGGTCCAGCTGGCCTCGCCTGCCACTGAGTCCACACTCTTTGGTCCCCACGAGTACTTGTTTTTCTTTATCTTTTCTGTGTTTACATTAGTCATTCAGATTCAGCCTTCTTTAGATCCAGTCAGTTAGGATTTATGAAAGCTAAGTGAGGACTTCTTGTGGTTAATATTGCTTAATAATAGCAAATTTCTACCTGTTGCACATTGAGTCATTTTCGCCCTTTCCTTCTAGGACAGGATTCTGGGAAGGTTGTGATATGGAATATGTCTCCAGTCCTCCAGGAGGATGATGAGAAGGATGAAAATATTCCCAAGATGCTTTGCCAGATGGACAATCACTTAGGTATTACAGAGTGGCCCTTTGCAGGCTTTGCGTGTTGGCAGAGTGCCCAAGGTTAGCACATGTGTTTGTAATTAGAAAGATAAGGCCCCGTGCGGCGGTAACTCCCCTCGGCCTGCTGTCTGAAGGCACAGATGTTGGCTGCACACCTGGGTGAGTTATTCAGCAGAAGACTCGACCCGCCCACAGAACCATCTTTGGACAGTCTGCAGGTACCTCTGGTGATTTCCTGCTCATGAGTCGTTACTGCCTGATTCCATGGGGCTTTGGGGCCAGCAACGTGGAAGCAGTAGGGTTCTGGGGAAGGATACGTAAGACATAAGACAGCTCACCAAAGCGTCTCAGACTTGGACTATGTCACTCTGAGGCTCTCTGCTGGGATTGGCCATCAGTGCTGTGGTTTCCTTTCCTGCTTTAGCTCCTTAGTTTCCCACCCCTGAGCATCAGGGTGACTATACCTGGCTCACGTTTCCAACCCAGCTGCCTTTCCTAAGAGGCTCTGCTAACAAGGACTGGTCTCAGGATATTGGCCCCTTCCTCAGCTCTTTGTGTTCTTGTTCCCCCAACATGCTGCCAGCGTCCTCTGCCCTGGAGCACACGCTGTTCCCAGGCCATGTGTTCGTGTACCTTTGGGAGTGTCTGTTCTGTATCGGGTCTCCCAGTCTTCAGAAGCTGAGCTGGGAGTGTGCCTGGAGCCCCTGGCCTGGGGGAGTGCCTGCTGGTGCTTTGCTTCTAGGTACAGAATCAGTCTCCAGTGCTGGCAGGTTTGGAACATCTGAACTGAAAGGCACTGGCCCTGACGGGGGGGACGAAGCAGAGTTTTATACTGTACCAGGCTGCCCTGCCCCCTGGAAGGTCTGGAAAAGGCATCTCGGCCTGTTTAACACATGCTCTGGTTTAGAGAGGGACTCCTCAGCAGTGCATCTCATCAACAGACAGCCCTTTGAAATAACGCGCTTTAGTTACCACGCATCTGATCTCTTGAATACAAACCTCCTCCTATGGATTCTTCATTCAGTACTAACAGTTCTCAGATTACGTGTATTTTCTCGCTCCAGACTCTGTTCTGATCATTTGTTATTACAGCACAAGTAGGTTAGTGCCTAAACTGAATTATTTGTCCAGGTCTCTCACACAGTAGATGCCTTGAATAGATTAGTTAGATAAGATTTTATGAACCCTTTACATCTTGCCAAACTCTGCATAAAGCAAAACGGGATGACTTTTGGATGTTCATCACCCTATTTTTTTTTCTTCCCAGCATGTGTGAACTGTGTGCGGTGGTCAAACAGTGGGATGTATTTAGCTTCTGGGGGAGATGACAAACTGATTATGGTGTGGAAACGGGCTACGTAAGCATCATTTTCCTTTCTTCACATTTTATTTTTAGAAGCTTCTTTGCTTGTTTTATCGAAGTCCCCTCTCCCCTCCCCAGCAATGAAGTCCCCAGAGCTCTCAACTTCCTGCATGGAGATCATTGGCAGCTGGGGCCTCACTGGGAGTCGGGAGGCCACCAACCCGCCTGGTGACCTGGTCACCTGCCCTCAGTCTGCACCGCAGTGTTTCTGCCTGGAAAGGAAGGCCTTGTCCCTTCTGCTGCTAACATTGGTGGCTTCCTTTGTTTTGTTCTTCAAATGAAATTTCACAAGGAATGCCGACATACAAAATGCTTTAAAAACCACCATGGTCGAAGCCCCTGCTCTGCACCCAAAATGAGCTAGCCATAATCTGGAAAACTGTTTTCCTTTTAACCTGGGAAAAGTCTCTCAGGGTGGTCCCTGAGAATCTGTTCCATGGTAAGCTCCCCAGGTGGCTCTGGGGCCATCATGCTGGGGAAGCAGACCCTACACATTGCTCAGCCAGAGTGGCCCTGTGGCCGTGGCTTGAAAGGTAGGGCCATGCCGTCTCCTTCAGCCCACTTGGCTGTCTCAGTGAATTCTCTTTCTTCAGGGACAAGAACTAGGGTATTAACAGAGGCCCTGGGCACGGGTGGTGTCAGCACTTCCTCCACGGGGAGTCCCTTGGGATTGCTCCTGTGGAAGGGGTAAGGACCAATGGCACACCTCATTGCTCTGCCTCCAATTTTAAGATTTTTACAAGGTGACTTAAATACTTTTGGTTTTGCAACTTTAAATCATCGGTATAGATAACATGTTTAGTGAACAACTTTGAAAACTGAAAAAAAATAAGAAAATCACTCATAATCGCACCACCGAAAGGAAGCCATGGTTAATATTTTGCTTTTGTTTTTTTGGTGTATATCCTTTTGATTGATTTTCCATGCATAGCTGACGTCCAATTATATGTATTTTCTTGGCATAAATGATGTCATATTTTATAGGCTGTTCTGTGGCCTGCTTCCTTCTTTCACTTCGTTTTTATATTGTGAACATTTTCTCATGTAATGGATGTTCTTTTACCATGAACTTTTTAGTGGTTTTGTCGTATTTCATCCAATGCACGTTCTGTAGCTTACCCAGTCAGCCCCTGTTGCTGAACAGCTTGGTGGCTCCCGCCATTGTTTATCTCTGCTCTGCTCTTTGTGCCGTGCTCAGCCGGGCCGCAGGGAGCAGCTGTGCCGCGCCTGCAGCGCCCCGGGCGCCCTTCTGACCCCTCTTTCACGCAGGTACATCGGCCCCAGCACTGTGCTTGGTTCCGGTGCTAAGCTTGCCAACGTGGAGCAGTGGCGGTGCGTCTCCATCCTGCGAAGCCACTCAGGCGGTGAGTGCAGCTGCCTGGGGGACTGGGCGGGCCGCCGGCGGCTGATGCCACAGCCCCTGGGTCTGGGCTGCCCTCCCCGCCACCCTGGTCACGCCCTGCCTGCCCCTCAAGTTCTGTGCAGTCACTCTTTCCACTGCCTGCCTCCAGCTCCGGTCAGTGCCCCCACTCCTGCCCTCATGGGGTATATGTTTATATCTTTAATGTAGAACTTCCCACGTTCTGCTGTTTGTGCTGGGGAACTGAATCAGTACCTTCATCAGTGGATCCCTGAGTCCGTAAGCACACTTTCTTTATTCCACAGAAACCAGCACAGAGGTGCCCATGAGAAGTTTCTGATTTGAACTGGAGTATATTTACAAAGTGTTTTAAATAGACTTGGTATAGAAAGAGCCACGTTTTACTTACTTGGGCTGAAGAGGAAGATCGATGTATAGCAGTCTACAGCTACATGCCATACGCGGTTTTGGGTATCAGGGATACCAGGATGAATATGATTTAGACTTGACTTAGAAAGCCTGTGGTCTAGCCCAGTGATGAATGTTGTGAAACAGGGAAATTTAGTCTAGGGTTCAGAGGAATATACTAACAAAAGAGGTTAAGAAAGACTGCTTGTAGGAGGTAAGTGTGTGAGCTGAGTTAACCAAACGAATCGTGGACAGAAGGGTTTTCCAGGTAGGGAGGGGCAGCATGAACAAAAAGGCTCGGAAGTGAGAAAAACTAGAATGGTCAATGACGAATTGGAAGTATTTTACCTTTGCTGGATCTTTACATACAAGGCAGGAAGCATCACAGAATGAGGTTTACGAAATATATAGGGACCAGGTGTACAAGGACCAGAAAGGCTTCTGTCCCTTTATTGAGCATGCCCTCTATCGTGGATGAGACAGGGAGCCACTAAAAGTCGTGAAGCTCAAGTGAGAAATCATGACAGCTGTGTGAAAAAGGAGGTTGTTGCAAATCGTTCAGATGAAGCTACAAGGGCTTGAACTAGGCCTGTGATAACTGGGATAGAGAGGAGGGGATTGAGTTGGGAAATACTTAGGACGGGGCAAAGGAAGGAATGATAGCATATAGACTCCTAGTTGGGTGTCTGGATGCCTAGTGATGTCCTCTGCTGACACCAAAAAGACAGCCGATCACAGGCTTACAGGCATAGATACCCGTTCAGCAAGGAATGTGCTGAGTTTCAAGGCATGGGGAAATATCAAGAGACTGATGGAGCTGGGACTGGACTTTGGGGGAAGACAAAGCAGGAGTGAGAAATAGGGACAATGTCGACCATAATCTATTGATAGTATATACTCAGCAAATCCTGTGTGAACAGTTTAAAGACAGACCAATCCAACACTTAGTGACAGAGGTTGATTCCACATTTGTAAAAGATGAAACTGTAGCCTTTTGGTTTTGATGACATTAAAAATGTATAATCTGCCCTTACTTATTTCACAGCTACTAATAGTGGAGACTAGCTGGGCTCCTGTAGAGCTTGGTGCATGTGTCTGTATATATAAGGGTGTTCACATGTGCAGTAGGACTGTTACAGAGCCTCTAACCTGGGACTCAGGCTGAGCTGTAACCTCTTTTCCTGCCCCACCATGCTATGGGTCTCCTTTCTAGGTGGGTAGAGTTTAGCCACATGCCACTAGGGCACCTGCCATTTATGCTCACTGGTCCTTGTAGCAGATGTGGGTGGAACAGCACAAGAAGAAAAATCAATGGAAAAGCAAATATAAATGAGCAAGAAAGCGCTCAGTCTTTGAAAAATAAAATATGGAAAACATACACTTGGCATATTTAATTGGGGCGAAGATAAGGGAGAAAAACCTAGACGAAATTAGAAGTAAAAGTTTCGAAGAATATTTAACCTAGAGGGAAAAAATACCAAAGATTGTAATGCAACATTTATACTATTGAAAAATAGAACTTTCAAAAATACTACAACGAAAATGACAGTTTTCTAGAAAATATGATTTCAATGTTGAGACCATCGGTGTTAACAACCTGATACCTGAATGACCTGAACAGAGTGACCAGTGTAGAAGTTGAGGGCCATCTGTGGGATGGTTCCCGGTCCTAAATTATTTACTGGCGCATTCTTTCCAGTTTAAGAACAGTTATTCTATAACATAGAAGTTTTTATCCTTCAAAGGAAGTATTACAACCTTGAGCTTCCAAAATGAAATAAAAATAACAAACAGAAATATAGCCTAATATGAGTAAGAGAAAAATCAGAAACAAAATACTAATGAAATCTGAAAATATTTCAAAGCAGTAAAAGAAT